AAGAAAAATTGCTCTATATGGGTTTTTCCTGCTTTAAAAAGTAATTCTACTTTTCAATGTTTTTCATTGTTAAAGTTACTATATACGTCCAAAAAACGTTTGACCCTAACCATAATTATGAAATTGGACTGCACGTCGATCTTATTTCATTTTACACAGCTATAATACCAAGTTGAAATACACAAATCTGATAAAACGAATAACGGCCGATGGTGCAAAAAAGTGTGGTATTAGGTCAATAGTTCGAATCTGTACACGCTGCAGTAATATGTTGCCTGTGAAACAAACGATATTGTAACGAAATATCAAAAATAACAGCAGAGATTCGTCAAAAGACACGTCACAGAGGCAAGTGAAATACGACCTATTATCATTAATATTATTAACTAATAGGAAAACAAAGCAACACGAAATATGAGTTCAAGCTGTTATGTAATGTGTTATGTAAATATTTGAGTGTAATAATTGGTGTTATAGTGCGGAGTAACCTGTAGACAATGACATGGTGCCAAGTGTGGGGCGCACCAAGGAGCCACCATTCACGGTGAATGGCGGGTCTTTGTACTGGCCTATAAAGATAATAGAGATAATAAACAGGATATCAAGACTCAGAATCAGTCCCTTAAACCACTCCTTTACAAGTTGCCGCTATCTAAACGTGTTGTGGAACAGAAGACCAATCCCCAGCAAGCGAAAACGTTCATCATAATATATAAACTAATGAAATGTGTTTTAGTCACCAACTGTGTAAAACGACGAATAAAACAAAAGTTGACTATGTGTTGAACACAATGCCAGAGAGGTGAGAGAGAAGGAGGAGCTTATATAGTCTTTACATAAGTAAACAGGAGGAGGGACTTACAGCCTATATTATAACATGGGAGTTAAGTGCGTTCTGAGAAGTGGTCACCATGTGGTCACGTTTGTGTGTGCTTCATTAATTCTCATCTACTTGAGTACGAAATAACAGGGGGAGGTGTAAGTGTTGAAACTAAAAGGAGAGATGTAAGATGTAGGTGTGGGATGGGGTTCTTGAAATGTAAGAGCCGCACCACGTTACTGGTAACTGTGTTGTTAAACTATTCTGCACTTCCACTTCCAGTTCCTAATTGGTGCGGAGTAGTCAGCTTTTGTACCATCCCTGGGCACTGGGACTGTTGTTGTGCACAGGGTGAGTTGAATATAATGCGTAGATTATAAATCTCTTTCAAATAATCCCGCTAGGATAAATCCTGAAAGTTGTAGGTTGATTGCTCAAAAACTGTAGGAAAGGATTTTGAAGTTCGATTTTCAGAACTGAATTGGAAATCGCTCACACAATACAATTACTCATAAGTGCTGACCTTTGACCGGCGATACCTTCGGCTAGAAACATTATTTTTCCATGGGATTGGAAGCAGTTGATACTTGATAGATATCATTCCCCTCTATTACATACAAATAAAAGGGTCGATTTCGAGAAAATTCCAATGAAGACGTGTAATTTGGAGAGTGTAATTTAGAGAGCGTAATTTATTGTCAGTAGATCGCAGACTTTTCAAGACAATACCATGAAATCAGTCATATCTGCGATACTCTTTGTTTTTCTGATTGAGTCTGCACATACTTGATCTTATGCACCAAATGTAGAGAGTCTGCCAGCGCATGCAGACCTCGGCAGAATGGAGTCAGCAACTGAACATTTTGGGTACTGAGACTGTTACGAACTATTGTGTGCACATGGTGAGTTGAAAATAATTTGTAGATTATAAATCTCTTTCAAATAATCCCGCTAGGATAAATCCTGAAAGTTGTAGGTTGATTGCTCAAAAACTGTAGGAAAGGATTTTGAAGTTCGATTTTCAGAACTGAATTGGAAATCGCTCACACAATACAATTACTCATAAGTGCTGACCTTTGACCGGCGATACCTTCGGCTAGAAACATTATTTTTCCATGGGATTGGAAGCAGTTGATACTTGATAGATATCATTCCCCTCTATTACATACAAATAAAAGGGTCGATTTCGAGAAAATTCCAATGAAGACGTGTAATTTGGAGAGTGTAATTTAGAGAGCGTAATTTATTGTCAGTAGATCGCAGACTTTTCAAGACAATACCATGAAATCAGTCATATCTGCGATACTCTTTGTTTTTCTGATTGAGTCTGCACATACTTGATCTTATGCACCAAATGTAGAGAGTCTGCCAGCGCATGCAGACCTCGGCAGAATGGAGTCAGCAACTGAACATTTTGGGTACTGAGACTGTTACGAACTATTGTGTGCACATGGTGAGTTGAAAATAATTTGTAGATTGTAAATCTCTTTCAAATAATCCCGCTAGGATAAATCCTGAAAGTTGCAGGTTGATTGCTCAAAAACTGTAGGAAATCGCTCACACAATACAATTACTCATAAGTGTTGACCTTTGATAACTTCTGTTATCGCCGTACAACTAAAACCCCAATAGTTAATAGAGGGTCATGTGCAGTGGGAGACGCGTTCATGGTATAACTAAATTCATGGTATAACTAAATTAAAGCAGATCGCAGAATAACCAGAGGTGACGGAACTCAGTGGCCTGTTGGCGCCCCCCCCCCCCCCCCTACTACTCTACTGATTTGAAGAGAAATAGTGCGTTACTGTTGCCAGAGAGAATGAAGGAGGAGCTATAGTCTTTACGTGAGTAAACAGGAGGAGGGACTTACAGCCTATATTATAACATCAGAGTTAAGTGAAGTGAAGTGGTCATCGGCTAGAAACATTATGTTTCCATCGGATTGAAAGCAGTTGATACTTGATAGATATCATTCCCCTCTATTAGATAAAAATAAAAGGGTCGATTTCGAGAAAATTTCAATGAAGACGTGTAATTTAGAGAGTGTACTTTAGAGAGTGTAATTTAGAGAGTGTAATTTATTGTCAGTAGATCGCAGACTTTTCAAGACAATCCATGAAATCAGTCATATCTGCGATACTCTTTGTTTTTCTGATCGTGTCTGCACATACTTGATCTTATGCCAAATGGACAGTCTGCCAGAGCATGCACACTGCAGAAGCAGCAGACACCACGGTGCAGAGCTCGGCAGAATGGAGTCAGCAACTGAACTTTGCTGGTTCTATTTTACTGGACTATAGATTCTGCCTTGCTCTATCCAGAGCCCTTGCGCTTGCAGTGTCGCGAAAGCACATGCGTTAGGTGAAGATTCTGCCTATGGCTTGATTATCCTATAATGACGGAGTATGTTATAGTCCAGTCTTCTTGCAATATCAATATCGCAGTTTAGGAGTTTTTGCTGTTTGACGAAGTAAAACTAAAACTAAAACCCCAATAAGTAAAAAAGGGTCATGTGCAGTGGGAGACGCGTTGGTATAACTAAATTAAAGCATATCACAGAATAACCAGAGGTAACGGAACTCAGTGGCGTAACGTTGCCTGGCAACCCCCCCCCCCCCCCCCCCCTACTGCAGACCCTCAACAAGCCTATGAAAGAGTTAATAAATATGTCAGTTAGTCTTGACTCAAGAAGAGAAAACGAAAAGGAGAATTATCTTACTGACACAAGCTAATCATTGAGACAAAGTGTTAAAAAAGAGCCCCCAACATCTAGCTTACTATAATACACTGTTAGAAAACACACAACGACTATTACTGAGATTGTAATAGGTGGAATACTGACAACACTAACTTGTTGTTACATACAGCGTCAACATAGAACACAGGACGTCTAGATTAAGACTCTTTACCAGCTGTGATTAGAGAATGAGCTGTAGTGCAGACTGCGGGTACGTGCAGGTACACAGTGTGAAGTAAACAGTGCCACTCTTTTAATGAGAAGAGAAAAGAGCACGTGGTTCTGCAATACTCAGGATACATTCACTGTTTTATTTAATTGTGGGAGTCTTTTAATTCAGCAGGCGGGGAACAGAGTGAACGAGTGAGTGAATGAGTGAGCGAGTGAGTGAGTGAGTGAGTGAGTGAGTGAGTGAGTGAGTGAGTGAGCGAGGGAGTGAGTGAGTGAGTGAGTGAGTGAGTGAGTGAGTGAGTGAGTGAGTGAGTGAGTGAGTGAGTGAGTGAGTGAGCGAGTGAGTGAGTGAGTGAGTGAGTGAATGAGTGAGCGAGCGAGTGAGTGAATGAGTGAGTGAGTGAGTGAGTGAGTGAGTGAGTGAGTGAGTGAGTGAGTGAGTGAGTGAGTGAGTGAGTGAGTGAGTGAGTGAGTGAGTGAGTGAGTGAGTGAGTGAGTGAGTGAGCGAGGGAGTCAGTGAGTCAGTGAGTCAGTGAGTCAGTGAGTCAGTGAGTCAGTGAGTCAGTGAGTCAGTGAGTCAGTGAGTCAGTGAGTCAGTGAGTCAGGGTAGAAAAAGAGGGAGCAGCCTGGTATCGACTGATGATCTGCACCTTTACACTTTACAGCGAGCTATCACACCAGTTCTTCATTAGTTTATGCTAATATGCCAACGATAAATAAGCTTAACGACTGATGATTTTGTAGCTATCTTAGAAAAAGTAAATAAATCTCATCTGGTTAAGTTTCCCGTGAAATGTAAGTATTATTTGTGAGTGTATAAACTACAGTTGAGACAAAGTAATTCCCACACACCTGTTGTCTCAATTCTGTGTGTAAACATCTAAATTATAAACACGGCAGGACACTATTCATACAGTTGCTTTTAGTTCAACAGTATTACTAATTGCAGTTCTCACTTACTAATCGCAGTTTTTAACGACTGTCATTACTTATTTAGGGTTGCTGGAGCTTTCAATTTTCCTTTTGAGGATCGTTCAGTTCTTGTGTAATACGTCAGCAGGATTTTCAAATCACCTCACCCTCCATCAGTTAGTTTGCATACGGCTACATTGTCAGCATTGTGTGGAAATGACGGCAGTACATTCTTGCGACGATGTTGGCCTTACTGTAATTTTGACGTACACTTGATATTTTATTATTTATGATAATGGGAAATGAATTTGCAATTGGAAACTAACTTTCTCATTTCTGAAATATTACAGCAAGATCGCTATGGTCACAGCTACACAGAAAGGGGTTCAAGAAGGGAAGGATTTAGATAAGATATTCCTATATGCAGCTCACCAAGTTAAGGGAATCCAACCTCTTCTCCGATCTTTCTTCGGCTTCCTTCAACGACAAACAGATTTCTACGAAGCTTCAACTGAGGCCGCCCAACACATGGTGCTGATGTCATTCCAGGAGTTCTGTGAAGTCCACAAAAACCGAAGTGGTGAGAAGTGTGTCCCTATCCCGCAGGTCGAATCAGCCAGTATCGAGGAAGTCGGGAGTGAAGACACTGCTGATAGTCCGAACAGCAGTGCTCAAAACGTCCAGAACGAAGAGGAATCTGACAAGGCGTCTAGTATAGTTACTGCTGAAGAGTCTTGCTCAACAGATGAGGATGAACATCATGATGGGTTCTACGAAGAAAGCAGGAGAACAAAGAAGGGCTCTGTTTACCCAAATGAGGGGGACGGTGCTACCTACAAACATTACAAGTGGACACAGTCCCCCACTGAACTGGAAATACTCGTACCTCTCTGTAAACACCGTCTCAAGCTGAAGAAAACTCTGCAAGTGAATTACACATCTTCCTCAATCTTTGCTTATATCCAGGACAAGAAAATGTTTGGAGGTTTTTTGGCTGACAATATAAAATCAGATGAAGTGACGTGGACACTAGAGGATAATATTATCTGTGTTCGGGCGGAGAAAGTGAAGACAGCGTGGTGGAAACAGCTCTTAATCACGGAACCAATGTTGTTGTTGAAACCTATTCTTAGGAAGCACGCCAGTTTAAGTGATATTGGTGAGGAGGAGATGAAACAATACCAACAGACGGTTGTTAATAAGAGGGATTACACCATTGCAAAACACACAGAACAGTTCCCAGATAAGTTACCTATTCCAGAACACTTGCAGTAAAACGAGCATGGCGATGCTTTTTTCACTTAATAAGACGATCGAGTCGTCGATAGTTCCCTATGTTGGGAATATTTTCTGCAATCCCTGTACACAGAAGAGCAGATAACGATTTCATTGTCACTTCTCTGGACAGATTTCACACAATTAGAGGAACCCCGGAAGTTACTTTAAGAATTATATGGAGTGTCGAGCCCTGTGACATCATATAATCGTTTCCTTAAATCATTCAAACTTGACCTTACTTGTCATCAGCTACCCAACCCATAATCTAAAACGACGTCACCTAGTTCAGAATTTGCGCGCGTCTCAAAGCGCGGCAAGAATAAGTAAAGTTGTGACAATAGTTTACTTTGTACAGCGTGACCCGTCAAAGTAGACCTTTTCGAGGGGAGATCGTAACCGCCCCACATTCCAGTTCCTACCCGGTCCGTCGAGACAGAAAGTCGCAGATCCGGTATTGGTTGATTCTAGAGATATGGTACCATCCCTAGCTTCATGGCAACTTGAGACTTTAAAATTTAACATACTAGGAAATACCATGACTGATCTCATGACATTTTCCAGTGAAAAGTAGACTTGAGTGTCGTACTGCGGGGCACGATCACACGATGTTTTCTTACTGGAATGTGTGTGACGTGTCACTCTACCCAAACCAGGAATGTTTATTAGCAATGCCTGATGAGCGGGACATGCCTTCTTAACTGGAATTATTTGTTCTTTCTGGACACAACAGCGATGTAAGAATCACGGAAATGAAACCCAAAGTCACGTACATTCTCATAAATTGCCCCTGCTAATATGTAATCAAATCACATTCCTTATAGAGATCATGAGAAAAGGTGTACCTGTAATTCCCACCGCTCAGCTAACTTAATTAGTGTATTAACGTGGATTGTCCGGTTGTTTGGCTCGCTGTATTATACACATTACACACTTTTGTTGCACCCCAAAGTAAGGCCTCCCACGTCACTCCTCTACTGATGTCTGCGAACCAGTTGCTTTGTGGACAACTAATACCTCTATTCAATATTATTCTTATCAATATAAGGTATAATTTGTGCGTACTTAGCACAAGAATTAGTGCACGTCAAATATGAGATTATATTTTATTTATAGCACACAGTGAGTTGCTATAAAGTTTACACAAGACTGGTTAGTATTTTCCATGCTGACTTCAGAACGACACAAGCTGAACAATTCTTCTGACTAATCCATCTTTCTAAAATCTAAATCCGTCCTTCTTTACACGCAAGTTCAGACAATTTGGTAACCCACGATTAGTGAATGTTGTCAGTGTAGTAATTACCCATGCCATTTGATTTGATAACCACGTCTGGAAATAAAGAAGTGTACAAAGTGCCACGTGGCAGCTTAATAAGGAAATGCTAAATATTACAGCCCGTCTTCTCACAGGAGTATGTAATATTTAGTGTGTGTGTTCTGTGTTACACTGTGTAATAGGAATATTTTATATTGGGAAGTACGGATATTATAATAATGTGGATACAGTAATGTGTAATAAATATTGAGATCTTGGTAGTAATGTTTGTTTTACACTTTATAAAGAATGAGTTGTTCTATTCCGAACAAATTACTATATTACAAAATAGAATCATCATTAAGGAGTTTTTGGTCAATCCGGGAATTTTAGAAATAGCTATTATTATAGCAATTAAAATTCGATTTATAACGCGCTAGACGGAAAAGAAATACCGCCCAAATACTCAGCTAATATACCACCTAATATAGCTAATTACAGCTAAAATACCACCACACATCTTGGAATTAGCGAGTGGACCGGTATCAGCCACCCCGCTAATCTTACATAAATAACACCTGATCTTATACTACTGACTTCGCACAAACACAGTGGACACTAATAGTGCGGTAGTGTGCTGGTAGTGTGCCACTGCCCATCTGTCATTCCCCGCTACAGAAAGATAAATATTAGCATTACAGTGTTTTTACAATACAGTACAAACGGAGCTTCCTGTTCATCACGTGTCACGACCCTACCTTATATGTGGCATCACGTGTCACACGACCCTACCTTATATGGGCATCACAGTGACACTGCTTTGCAGCAGCTGATTGGACACTACTGTCCACCAGCCTGCCTCTTTTAACAACAAGTTATAATTATACACTCGCCAGTAAGGCATGATGGGAAATTCGATCAATTAAACCCGTTCTATTGCGAGACTTATTGTAGTGATATTGATAGGACAAAGAATGCTGCGGTGTAACACGGCTTCAGCAAGTTACGTAACATTGCTTGTGAGCCCTTCTTTTCGAGGAAGCCTCTTCATTTGCATTTACAGAGCCCGACGCCAGGTGTAGAGGGGAGTGTGGATCTCATTCCAGAGAGAGAGAGAGAGAGAATATATATAGAGAGAGAGAGAGATATAGAGAGAGTGAGAGAGAGAGAGAGAGAGAGAGTGAGAGAGAGAGAGAGAGAGAGAGAGAGAGAGAGAGAGAGAGAGAGGGGGACTGGGAGTGGGATCTCATTCCTCTAACTCAATTTAAGTTCAGGAATGTGGGGGATTGTCCCAAACTTTCACAAATGCCATTACTCTCTCTGAAGTAGCTCTGCACAGGTAGAGGAGCTATTTAATTAAAACAAGATAAACTCATTAGTGTAGAGCACAGTCTGAGTCCTGTAACTTGGCTTACCAAGTGACAGGACGCACAGTAACCTACACAGTAAACTACAATAAGTTTAGTACAATAAGTTTAGTACAATAAGTTTAGTACAATAAGTTTAGTACAATAAGTTTAGTACAATAAGTTTAGTACAATAAGTTTAGTACAATAAGTTTAGTACAAAAGTTTATACAAAATTTGTAAAATAATTTTATACAATAAGTTAGAAATAAGTTTAGTCAAAATTTAGTACAATAATTTAGAAAAGTTTCAAAAAAGGAAAAAGACAATATTTAAAAAAAAATTTTTTTAAAAAGTGCAAAAATTTAGTCAAAAATTTATAAAATAATTTTTACAAAATTTAGTAAAAATTTTTAATACAAAATTGTACAAAAATTTATACAAAAGTTTAGTACAATAATTTTAGTACAATAGTTTATAAATAAGTTTAGTCAATAAGTTTAGAAAAAATTTTTAGTCCCAAAAATTTTTTATAAAAAGTTAGACAATAAAAAAATAATTTTTACAATAATTTTATAAAATTTTTTTAGTACAAAAAGTTAGACAAAAATTTTATAAATAATTTTAGTAAAAAATTTATACAAAAATTTTATACAATATTTAGACAAAAATTTATACAAAAGTTTTACAAAAATTTAGAAAATATTAGTACAATTTTTTAGTACAAAAAATTTTAGTACAAAAAAATTTTAAATATTTTTGTCAATAATTTATACAAAAAGTTCAGTACAAAAATTAGTCAAAAATTTATACAAAAATTTTTCAATAATTTTAACAAAAGTTGTACAAAAGTAAGTACAAAAATTTTTAACAATAAGTTTAGTACAAATTTGTAAGAAATTTTTATTTCAAAAAATTACAGTAATTTTAAAAAGTTTGGGTACAAAAGAGTACAAAATTTTACAAAATTTAGTCAAAAAGTTTGTCCAATAAGTTTAAAAATATTAGTACAAAAATTTTTAGTACAAAATTTTAGACAATATTTTTGTACAAAAAGTTGTACAATAATTTATTTACAATAATTTTGTAAAAATTGAAATAAGTTTAAAAAAAGTTTAGTAAAAAATTTTATACAATATTATACAATAATTTGAAAAAAATTTTAGTGCAATAATTAGTAAAAATTTATACTAAGTTAGTCAATAATTTAATCAAAATTTAGTCAATAATTTTTGTACAAAAAATTTTAATACTAATTTATCAATAATTTTAGTACAAAAATTTAGTAAAATTTTAACAAAAATATTAAAATAATTTTTAGTAAAAAATTTGTACAAATTTTAGTGCATGAAAAAATAATTTGACAAAAAAGAAAGTAAAAAAATTTATAAAAATTTTAGACAATAAGTTTAGTAAAATAAGTTTTTACAATAATTTTAGTCCACTAAGTTTGTACAAAATTTAGAAAATAATTTGTACAAAAATTTTAAGTCAATAATTATACAATAATTTAGTAAAAATTTTAGTCAATAAGTTTAGTCAATAATTTTGTAAATAAGTTAGTACAAGGTTTAGTAAAATAAGTTTAGTCAATAATTTAGTAAAATAAGTTTAGAAAAATATTTATACCTAATTTATACAATAATTTAGAAAATTTAAGTTTAGTAAATAGTTTAACAAAATTTATTACAAAAATTTTAGACAATAAGTTTTTGCATAATTATCAATAATTTTAGTACAAAAGTTTGTAAAAAAGTTTATACAAAAATTTTAGAAAAGTTTATACAAAAAGTTTAGTACAATAAGTTTAGTACAAAATTTTACACTAATTTAAAAAAATTTTAGAAAAAAGTTATACAAAAGTTTAGTACAAAAAGTTGTCAATAATTTTAGTACAATATTGTGCAATAAGTTTATGCAATAAGTTTAGTACAATAGTTTAGTACAAATTTAGTAAAATAATTTAGTACAATAAGTTTAGACAAAAATTTTAGTACAAAAGTTTAGTACAAAATTTTTATAAAAAATTTTTAGTACAATAAGGAAAATAATTTAGTACAAAAATTTTACAATAATTTTTAAAATTTTAGTAAAAAGTTTAGTCAATAATTTAGTACAATAAGTTAGTCATAATTTAGTAAAAAATTTTTATACAATAATTTTATACAAAATTTAGTACATAAGTTTAGTAAAAAATTTTTGTACATAAGTTTAGTCAAAAAGTTTAACTAAATTTTTACAAAATTTAAAAATAATTTATAAAAAATTTAGTAAATAAGTTTAACAATAATTTAGTACAATAGTTAGTACATAGTTTAGACCTCAATATTCAACACCCCATAACTACTAACATGTAATTCACTGACGTTATACAACTCCCCTTTTTTGGCTAAGGG